TTTGGGGGGGGGGGATGGATTCATACTCTGGTCTCCAGACCTGTATTCCCTTCAACCACTACACAACACAGCTTAAATCACTACAGCTTAAACTACTACACAACACAGGTTCTCAGGTTTACAAGGAGTTAAACAAATTCATGATGATTATGGATTTCAGTGGTTACTAGTCATTATGGCTAAATATTACTTCCAATAAAAAGGCCTTTGAAGGGTAATTATTGCAGTATATATGTGACAGGTATCATTCACTGCATTTGCATCCCAGAGGCTTCCCAGAGGCATCTGCTTCCTAAAGTAAAGAAAATGCTGGACTAGATAAGACTTTAGTCTGATCCAGCAGGACTCTCTGTTCTTATCTTCTTAACAGTATGCCAGTTCATCTGCTCAGGTTTTGTCTAGTAAATTCCTTTCTTTTCTCCTGTAAAATATCTGTGGTATAATTTACTTATTTTCTTAATAGTTGTTTTCAAGTTATACTCTTCCCCTCCCCTTCAGCTGAAGGAGCGGTTTCTCTATTTTGTAGGAAAAGAGCACGTAATCTGCTATGTGTGCACCACATCTCATGGAAAGATCCCTGTAACTCTATGTTCATCATGGCATTTATACATAGCAGAGCTAATCCCAAAATTACTTTTTGGATTACAGCTCCCATACCCCCCCCCCCCAGTCAGCACAATTACTGGCCTCTGTAGTCTATGCAGTCACATTGGCTATAGAGAAGTTTGTCATACTTTGGCTCTCCTCCACACCAACATGGAACCAGTTTCTGGAAGACGTGATGCTCATGTGGGAAAGTTCTTTTCACATGGCCCACAGATTTTCACGCTACTCAAATGACATACGTCACAAAGGTAATGTACTATTGTGAAGCATTCCATCCCACAATAGTAATGAGAGCTGGCCTGAGATCTTTTGCCACCTGAGGCAAAGGATAAAGTGTTGGAAAATACTAATGATTTGACAATACTTTGAAGGAGCCAAAATAGCTTAGGAGATACAGGTTAGGCTGTAAAGAATCTATAGCTCTGTCCTCCAGTATTCCAGTGCTATTCGCCTGTTGTCTGCCATTTGATATGTCTGCCCCATTTTGACTAATGGTAGGGCTGGCCCAGACAGCAATACAAAAAGAGGACCAGCCTCCCAATTTTAAGCCAGAAGTAGAAATATTCCACAGCTAAACCATAAATATTGAGCCACAGTATGAAAAAGTATAACTAACCAATTTCACATTGCGAGGAACCTATGCCTGCTATGGAATCTGGTGTACATCATGAAGCAATAATAACTTAAAACTATGTTGGATTAAACAAAACGGATATGACACAGGGGAAATCTTGCATTACATTGGCATGTGGATGGGAAAAGTAACCTGAGAGATTTCCAGTCACTTCCTTCCTCGGTCTAACATTCATTTATATTAACTAGCCAGCACAGTATGCAGGAGCCTAGGGAATCATCTACTAGTTTTAAATAGCCATTTAAATCCCAACAAAGATTATTTTTTCTCGCTTTTTACCCCCTATGGATTCCAAGTTGGATTTTATCCATTTTTCAGTCATCATAAAGGATTTAATGATAATGTAACAGTTAGTGGGGGAGTTGGAAAGTAACTGTATTTGCCTTTTCTTAGCACCTTAGCACGCAGAAAGCATTAAATGCAAAACCCCTGACTTCACAGATTTGGCAGTCAACCCTCATTTTCTATTACATGCGACAGTACTTTTTTCCTACTCTAGAATTTAGCAAAGTGAATCAAACTTCCAGTTTCATTGTTCCTGTTCTCCTAACAAACTATTCTTGAAGTTATGAAGAATACCACCTTCAAAAAGTTAAGCAGTGATATCCAGGAGAAGGTGAAATAAAGAACAAAGGTAGCCATGTGGGGCAAAATAAAAATTCCATATTCCATTAACACATCCCTATTAGTAATATCTTTATAAAGACAACCAAAAGGGCACAAAATGTATGCAAGCTTTAAAGAGTTCTAGATGTCTTCATCAGGCAAGATGTTACCAAAAGGGGAAGGGGGGAGGAACCAACCTGATGTTCAGGTCATGATTGGGATCAACAAATGGGGCCCTCTAGCTATTAGTGGATTGCAGTTCCCATCAGCCCTAGCCAGGGAAGACCATTGTGGGGAATTCTGGGTGTGGCAGTCCAACAAGGGCTATAGTTATCCACCCCTGGACATGGTTTCTGGATGATGTCCTGAAAT